CTATTGAAGAGGCTTTAAATTATCTCAAAGACAACACCATAGGAAAATTGCCTAATACTACGGTGAGTCTTTTTAGAAACGGGTATATACTCAGATAAGTATACACGCTTTATTACCGTCTAGTAAGATTCAATTCATGAGTCCACAGGCGCAGGCTAATATTTTCACAGCATACTCAGATACTTTATAAGGATTGAATTTGTTAAACAGCTTTGGAAACTGTACCTTTATCCTTTATATATATATATATATATATATATTTATTATATACATACTGAGAAATACTCACCAAAAAGCTATGTCGTAAATTTTCGTACGCAAATTAGTTATAGCCAATCAGAGGAGCGAACGATGGTTTTCACACGTGAAAAAAACGATACGTCCAATCAGAATCGCGAACGATGTTTTTTCACGTGTGAGAAAAATGATACGTCCAATCAGAAGCCACAGAGGTGTAGGAGTTTCGCGCCAAAATTCCCGCCTTTTGTTGCAGCTTGCAGCGCCGCTTCGCACACATTTATCAACGAGAAAAGTTTTACTCAAGGAGTTTTTCTCGCTAAAAAAGTGAAAAACATTTCGGAAATGGAGTGGAATAGTTTCGTTTGTTTCACTGTCGATAAAAAAATACGGTAGAGAGCCGGTGAAACAACAGCGGAAAGGGATTAACAGAACGAGACGTAAGCTTTTGTTGTGCTTTTTGTCGGAGCTACTTTGCCTTTCATTTAAGCTTAAGCTTATATTGAAACCGGCCATTTTACTTAAATTCACTTATTTTAAATTGTGTATTGAGAACAAACAGTTAAGATTACTAATAGTCCTTGGATTAAACCTCATATCCTCACCGTCATTTATGTTTTTAACAAACGCTTTTACTAAAAAGCTGATACTTCGTTTTCGTTGTCATTTTGCGGTAAGTGTGTAGCGGCAAATTTTAGCATTTTTGAAAGATTTAAAATAAAAAGGCCCGCAAAATGATGAATGACTCAGTATGTATATAATAAACACAATACCACATGGAAAGTGCTTTGTACGGTATTTACGCACTCGTTGTTTTTGTATCAGAAATCTTACTCGTTCGCTGCGCTCACTCGTTCGATTTCTGATACGTCAACAACTCGTGCGTAAATACCGTACGCCAGCACTTTCCATGAAGTATTCTCTATATATATATATATATCTTATTGCTTTTACACTTATTTAAGGCAAACGGATACCGAGTATTTCTTCCGTATTTAAGACCCCGGTACCGTTTCCACAGGTCAAAATTTTAAGACATCGTTAACTTTTTTTCTACAAACTTTTAACAAATTTGATTGAGTCCATATTGTAACGTTGTGAGTTTGTACTGCAAACAGAAAAGTCTTTGTAAAAGTAAACAAAAGGTGCTTAATCCATTAGATTGACTTCCCTGCGAACTACTGTACAAGATCGCGAGCACTTTTAAAATCTAGCATCCTATTGGATAACAATTATCACGTGTTCTGACACCGTTTTGTAAAGATAAGAAAAATAAAACAAACACAAATCATAGTGTTAAAAAATGTCCTCCTGAGCAACGAACACAACAACGCATTGAGAAAACTGTGAGCCCAATATGAACGAAAACGAAATGGGCAAAACTTCAAAGTCCTTAAGTTGAAATAAAATGTAATGAAAAGTTCATTGTCGATCCCTTAATGAAAACTAGGTCATTTTTAAGTCCTTGAAACAAGCAGGTAAGTTAATCTGACGTCCGCTCCTAGTCGCTGCTAGGGTCTTTCACAGGTGTTGGTACCGCTACTGTGGGACTTGAAGGTGGAGTAAAGACATCCGCTGATACTTGCTGGAGAGGTTGTATGTGCGGTTGTCCAGAGTCCTTTACCGCTTCTTCTGTTGATAAGGTTGATGCAACCGTGATCTTTGAGGGCTTAACCCCCACTTCCAGAGTGTGTGTAGCTGGAGGTGGATGGTACTGCCTTAGGTGCCCTCGGTTTCTCCAAAAAGATCTTCCGTCTAGTTTCAGTGCGAACTGCATATGATTGCACGTCTACTTGGTCTTCAACTTGAGCTTTCTTTTACTTTCGAGCTTGGGGACTCGGTAGTATTAGCACAGCACCTCCTAGCTCTCAAGTGCCTCTGTTGTAGTAAAAGGTCTGACGTTATTTCTTCTTAAGAAGTTTCTATCGTACACCAGTAGTTGTTGTAGGTTTCAGAAGACTTGTTGCTGTTGGAAGAAGTGTTCTTGTTCTTGTCATAAATTCTGTGTTTTTCCAGTCAAGTAATGCCAAATAAAAGTCGGTTTGGCCGTTACTTTGAGGGTAGTTGGGGAGTGGTGACTATCTTGAACTCGTAAGCTCTTGCGAAATCTCTAAACTCTTGTGAGTCAAAGGGTGGACCATTGTCCCTGTGAAACAAGTTAGGTGTGCCATGATTGGAGAAATGGCGTTTCAACCTATGGTGCCGGATAGCTCTTGCAGTCTTCCTCTCAAGATGGTCAATTTCAAAATAACTGGAATAATAATCTACTGTACATAGATGATCGTTCTCTTCCAAAGTGAATATGACACAACCAACTTTCTGTGACGGGGCCTTCAGCTGGGGGCGGCTGGCATATATGTTACACGTGTAACAGTGTTCAATTTAATGAACGATTTCTTGATTCATAGAAGGCCAATAGACGACTTCACGTGCTCTTCTTAGGCATCCTTGTATTCCTATGTGGGCACCATGGGTCTTCTCTTTAACTTTCTGTCTCAGGGTAACTTTCTGTCTCAGGGTCTGAGGAATAACACACCTTTGGCCTTTAAAGACGATTCCGTCTTATACGGCCAGTTCGTCTCCGACATTGAAGTACTCGGAGACAGTCCTTCGGTACTGAGCTGCTTTTTTCAGGAAATCCTCTTATGATCACCATCTTGAGGATCCGAAGATTTGGATCTTTAGCTGTTTCTTGCTTAATTTCATTCAACTGGTGCACGGAGATAGCTAGATAGTCTATGTCGTGACTACTTTCTACTTCTCTCTCTGTCTCTGATATCTGTTTATCGGTAGGATTTAGGCTTTGATAGACTCTTGATAGGGTATCGGCGAGATACATCTCTCTCTCCCGCCTGTAACTAATTTCAGTCTGCGTCATATTATATTGAGGAGGAGTCTCTGTAGACGCTTTGGTGCAGATGCTAATGGCTTTCTTGAGATCGAACCAAGGGCTTGTGATCAGTATAAAGAATAATTCTTCTGCCATAAATGTCCTGATGGTCGGGTTCTAAGCCGAATACCGCGGCCGGCACTTGAGCCAAGAGCTCCTTTTCAATTTGAGAGTAGGGCTGTTCAGCCTGTGTCAGAGCCATTCTTGCATAAGTGACAAGATGTCTTCCTGTGCAAGAACGAAGCCAATTTCTTACAAAGAGGCATCTCCACTTCCTTCTGTAGGCTTGCTACAATCGAATTATTTTGAGAACTGTGGTAGAGGTAAGTAAACTGCTTCCTTGATTTTGTCCAATACCATGGCACATCTTTATGGGTTAGACGTCTGATAGGTTCAGAAATCTGAGAGAGGTCACCAAGGAACTTTGAGAGGTACCCTTAGTTAACCTTGCTTATCAGCCTTTGCACTGAAGCTACATCATTGGGTTTCTTAATTCATACTGAGAATTGCTTTCACTTTGGCGGGGTAGGTTTAAGACCTTTTGTTAGGCGATGGCCAATGAACTGCACATCATCGCACTTGAATGTAAACTTTTTATCGTTAAGTTTGATGTTTCGTCCCCTGCATCGATCCAGGAGGGACTTTAGGTTTCTGTCCTGTCTTCGTCTACCTCGCGTTTTGCCCTTGACCAGTGATCAGTATATCGTCAGCAATTTTGAAGACTCCTAACTTCCAGTCCTTCCAAATTCTGGTCAAGTTTCATCTAAAAAATTTCCGGGGCTGGAGTGATTCCAAAGGGAATTCGCTGCCAGCGATAGCGCCCCCTGAGTGTCTGAAAGACAGTTAGTTTAATGGATTCTTCGTCTAATTCAGCTTGAAGAAATCCTTCTCTCAAATCAACTTTGCTGAATACTTTCCCTTCCATGCCCCCTATCTCTTCTTCGAAGACATCTGAATATTCAATCATCACAGCACGATGGTCGGTTGCTAGAGCTTTTCCTCCCGCAACTTCTTAAATTCAATTTTTGGTTCACAGAGGAGTAGTTTATATTACAAATGAAGCAAGACATTAGAACATCTTAATAAACGACAAATTTTCTTTAAATTTTTACCATTGTAAAGGTATTTTTGACATTTCTTGAAAGTATGACGTCATAAGTGACACCTATTATTAGTAACAACATTAAAAATTTGAAAAGCAGTGTTCAAAACGTTATAGACATTTTTGCTACACATAAATAATATTTGTATATGTAATAGGACTACATGCTGTCCAATTTGGAAATAATTGGATGAAAAAAATTCCGAGGACAGCCAAAATTAAACGAGGCCGTAGGCCGAGTCCAATTTGGCTGTCAGAGGAATTTTTTGAATCCAATTATAACCAAATTGGACAAGCATGTAGTCCTCTTACTTATTAATCATATAGCTAGTGAGGAAATACAGCTTCGCAAGGAAAACTATGGGAACTGTCTCTGATAAAAAAACAGACTGAAATCTTAATAATATTTTTATTTTTATTCATTCTTAAATACATGCTGTAGTCCAAATAGAAATGAATTTCATTACCACAATTGTATTTAATAAATATGATAAATATAACAATACTGTAAAACTTTAAGGTCAAAAAATTTAGAATTTCAGTATTTTGAAACTATCCAGTTTTCAGTATCAAAAAATAAAAGTGTGTAAAGAAATAACACACACACAATAAAGATGGAAAAGATTAAGAAAAGAATGCAATTAACAAAGTGCAGAAAAAATAAAATTAATTATTTTAGTCTGTACAAAACACGCACACATTAAAAAAGTGCAAAACTACAATGAATACAAGAAAGGTGTAAATTTAAAGTTTTTGTACAGTCAGCAATAGCTAGTCCTCATCGGAGTCTGAGAGTACAGAAGCTCTGATCCTTTTCCATGTACGTCGTGGCTCTGTGCTTTGGTGAGTTGGCACTGGCATATTAGATAGACCTGGAAAGCCAGGAAATGCTCCATAGAAATTCACTGTACCTGTAAAGTTGTTGATGGTACTGAAACTGTTGCTGGAAGAACTGGCTTGAAGGGGTAGTCTATCCTTATTGGGGCTGCTGTTAGCAGGTTGTTGTTGAATATCACTTGTTTGCTTGCATCCACTGATTATATTTGACAGTTCCCTTGCCTGATTCTCGTCATCTCCTTCATATGAATTACGACTGAGAATATTACGGTGTCCAGTAACATCAATAATCTTGTCCCTCGGGACACCAGCATTCTTTAGCTTTTGCACACAAGTTTTTCTGCTCGAACGATTGGTAATTTTCTTACCAGTGGCAGTAGTTAAACCAGACTTGACAGCCATGTCTCTCATAAGCTGTCCAAGTTTGTGCTCACCTATTCGTTGTCTGCTAAACCACACTTGGCCCTTGGGTTTTGAAATAGTTGTCAAGTAGAATGGCCCACTGTCTCTCATTTCTGGTGGTCGTCTAGACAGCATTTCTTCGAAAAGCCTTACAGGGCATCTTTTGCCGCCAGTCGAAAACGTTTTGGGTTGTACAGCTCTGTGGGCGATCCGGAGACCTCCTTGCCTCGTTTTTGTAGGACCTTCTTTAAAAGTTATGTATTTGACAACGCTGTCAGGACTGGTTATGATGCTGAAATCTTCCACCATCATTGAATAGTGCTCTTGTCTCCCTCGGAGGCCAAAGTGTTCAGTGACATTTTTGAAGTTTACATTGACCAGAGCTTGAGCAGAATGTTTACCGAGCTGACCTGACTGCCAGAGGAATTCTTCGTCTTCTTCGTTCAAAGCGTGAGATGCATTTTTTCGCTTTCCGTAACCCTTCACTCTCAATTCTCTTGCTTTCGCCTCAAGTTGTTTTTTTTGCCAGCGTTTTTTAAATGGCGGTCCAACGCGCTCTGCATCACTGCCAGACTTTCTGGTTCATATTCGCTGCCGTCTTTTTTTCGAATTTCGGCAAAGAAGCGGCAGAGAATTGAATCTAGCTCTTCTGGAGGGATATCTTCAAAACGTCTCGCTTTGTTACGCTGGAGTTTCTACTCGTTGAAAACGTTCAGCCACGTTTTTGTGCTCTTGGCGGTGTTTGAGTTTTCGTTTCTGCTTCTAAGAGTATTAATTTCCTCTTCCTGCAACCATGGAAATCTCTCATTTGTGTTAGAACTGCTAAAGATGGAAAAATTTGGCAAATTTTCTTCACTGAATTCCTCCATGTTGTCAACAAAAATGGCGACCTGTCCTGCTTTCAGTGCTGACGTTTGCTCACTGCTGATTGTTTGGTTTCACAATCCATTGTTTTTCCTCGGATTTCATTGGCTGAAACAAACTGTCCTATTTTTTTCCCAAATAGGACAGTTTCTGCATTTTTACTCAAATTCCATATTGAAAACTGTCCAAATTAAATCCCAAATTGGACAGTTCTGAGAAATTAAAGGATAATAGCCGTGCTGACAATACTGGATTAACTGACTGCTATATAATTAATAGTTAAAACCTAATCTCAATCCGATAAAATGGCGCGAAGCTACAGCTAATTAAAGAAAATCAAATTTACCGCCAAACGACCATATATGGTCAAAATTAGGGGTATTTTAAACGCGAGAAAAATGAATGTATTGGCACAGGAACAAGAACAAAGTTACATAAAATCAAAATTGCAGTTTTTTCTACTTAGAGTATGTGGTGCTATGACGCGTTTTTCGTCACAAAATAAGTCATTGTGACGTCATAATGACGTATTTCGTGACAAAAAACGCGTTACAGCACCACATGCACTAAGTAGAAAAAACTACATTTTGATTTGATGTAACTTTTTTCTTGCTTTTGTACCAATACACTCATTTTTCGTGCGTTTAAAATACCCTTAATTTTGACCATATAAGGTCATTTGGAGGTAAATGTAAATTTCTTTAATTAGCTGTAACTTTACGTCTTTTTATCCGATCGAGATGGGGCTTTCACCAAAGGTCATAGAATTCTATACAGAAAACTAATGTATGATTTCTTTTACCATTTCTTTCCTGAATTTTTATTCTGACGCAAATTTGGACATCATTTATGACGTCACCATAGCAATCACATGGGATGAAAAATATAGACAAATTAACAGGTAATTTACCAACCTTCGTCCTTGCTAAGTTTCGTCACATCCGATGCATTCTACTTCTGTCTAAGGCATAAAGCTCTCAGTTTTGAGAGGTATGGGAGGAAAAGCCCTAGCAACCCACAATAATGAAATTGATCAGATAACTTTCCTTGTTCTTAGGATTCACTACCGACAGTCTTTGACTTGCTTTACCAATGGCTGACATAGGTGACTTTGACTACATCTTGAGGGTTTGACTCGATTTCTCAACCACAGTTCCTTTGGGGAAGTACCTGACGGGCAAGACGTTGCACAATGCGCCTGAGTCAATTAACATTTTCACTTCTTTTCCACCAATGTTCATAGTGGCCTGGATCTTGTTTGGATGGTTGTCGACAGCGCTGATCTCGTCTTCGCTGTAAGATACAGAGAGAATTTCCTCGTCACTTTCATCAGTCTCGAACTGATTCACTGTATGCTTCTGTGGAGGTTTCCTGAATCTTGGCTTCTTTTTCTGCGTTTGCTTCTTTTTTTGGGAACATTTCACGGCAAAACGATTCTCTGTTTAACAAGCAGAGCAAATTTTCCGGAAAGCTGGACACTTTTATCTCTTTTTCCCATGCGTTTGACCGCAAGACCGGCTATCTTTTACAAAGGATGACTTATCCGCGCCTTTCGACGGTGTCTTGACAAAGTTCACCTCATGGGGTGAGGGTGCGTGTGAGGTTAGTGTTGATATATAGCTTTCAGTAGAGTCGACGTGGCTCCGGCGCTGCGGCACACATCTATACACTTTTCAAGCGTGTTCGTTCCGGTACTTGAAGTAGTTGTTTTGTTTTGTTTTGTTTTTTTTGTTGCTTAAACTGCTGCCGCGAACTCCACAGACAAACCTGTCTCTTATTATTTCATCTTTAATCGTTCCAAAGTTATACGCATCAGCGAGCGAGAGATCTCGAATGTGATGTGTAAGTATCGATTGATTCGCGGGCGTCTTGATTGCGATTATTGAAGCGATATCTTTCATAAATAATATTCGTTTTCCCGAGGTAATAGGATTCTCATAATTCGAAGATTTTCGTTGAATTGTTCTTCTTGTCTTTGCTTTGAAATGAAAGGCCATTGTGAATAGCGAGCGCTTTTGGGCCAATGCATGTGATAAGTACTGGTCGGTCTGCTCATTGAGAGGCGCGATTAATTCGTAAGCACTCCAAACCTGCCTCCATTGCTCCCATTTGTTAGGCGAATTTCCAGCTAATTCAATTTTTGGAGGAACTGGGACTTTACCGGTTAATATCGGAGCTTGAACAGCTTAGACGGGTTGTCCTCCTTCATCCGGTCTGTTCTTGGATCGGCGGGCATGCTTCAGTGTCTTGCTAAACTCGCTGTTGACTGGGGTTGAATTTCAAACGACGTTGTTAACTAAACGAAAGCGATAATTAATTCGAACTGCTTATAGACACCATGTAAGGATGTGCGCTTATACGGCGAACAGAACTGTCTTATAAATGTAAACAAAAGATTTTTGCAGCAGTTATCACTTGCACGAGCCCTCAAAGGGTTTTCTCTTCGGTTCAAACCTGCGTTTTGGTGGACGTCAATTAACGGTTACCGTGGTTTCCACACGTTGGCCGAAAGAAGATTCTTTCTCCTTTTCTCGAACACTCGGAGGAACATGTCCGCGTTTAAGCCGTTTTTGCAATATTTTGTTACAGGATCTGACACCACTTCATTTCAAGATTACGAAGAGTCCAAGTGTTGAGTGTTTGTAAGAGAAATCTCAGATTATCGCCTTATTTCCACACCGTAAGTTACAACCACATAAGCTTTCTCAATACACGCTCGCAACTTGTCTGAGTTCTTGCTAGTTCTGGATTCTACATGAAGAATGATAAGTAGATCGTACTAGATCTGCAGGTTGCAAAATTCATTTTCGCAAACAGCCTCCATTTAGAGGAAACGTTTTTCCATTGTCTGTGTGATATCTTTCGTGTCTTTGAATTTCTACTCTTTGCCGTCCACGGCTCCCTTGTTTTCATACAATCAAATAATAAACAACCTGAAACCTATAGAGAGCGTTTCGGCGATTTCACTGAGCTTGCAGATACCTCGTTGTTTTAACAATGTAATCCTTCACCTTAATGAAATAATCAAAAACGCCGTCGTCATTCGAAATCAAGGACCTTAAGTTAGGGTGGACGGTAAGGTAGAGGACGGCACCGGAAATAAAAGTTGCCTGATTTGGGGCTAATTAGCATATATCTACGTCGTCTGCACGTCGCAGGGGCACCCAACGAGGATATAGTTCAAAACCACTTAACATAGCATTGTTGAACGTATTTTAGTATTCAAACGGTAGATATAGGCATATTTTTATCTCCTAAAAGCTTCTCATCTGTTCGGATTTCCTAGCTGAAAGTCTGGTGATCCGAAAATTATAGGGATAAAAACTTACCTTCTCGAAAATTTCAGCCAGGAAAAGGCTCCCGAAACTTCTAGGTGGCCTTTTTTAGGGTCAATATCCGTTAAAAATGGGTAAAAAAAACCATTTTGTAGATGTTCGAAAATCCTAGGAGAGGCAGGCAAGCAAGAAATTTTACAACAAATGCTCCGAAAATTCTAGATCTCAAATCGTCTTCCGAACAGATATTTTCCCGAAAATTGCCGTTGGGTGCCCCTGACGTCGCGACAGTGAGAAAGTTGGGTGCGGCGGTATCTCGAGAAGGTGAGTTTTATATTCGTGTTTTCGTCTTCAAAACATCTTTATTTTAACAGAATACCGCTTTAATCTGTTTCTGGCGTGTCTAGTTTACTTCAAATGGTAAACTTTTTTCACTGAATTACTTATTTTAACAGTATTTTATGATTGAATATATATAACGTGAGCTTGTGCACCAAGTGGAACAACTGCAGGCTTAGAATTCCCAGCGGTTAAATAATCACATTTAAGCATTCTCTCACGATCTGAACATTGGCTTTTGTTCATTCACGAAGTTTTTAGTTAATTTTTTCTGCGTAAGTTGTAGGCCAAAAGGAAGTTACGTGTTAATTGCTTACCATTTATTCGACCAAATAAAGCCCTGTATAAAGCAGGATGAAGGAGCTTGTTTATTTTTGCGCGCAACTTGCCAATTGTATTTAATAATTTGTTCTTATTTTAATGAATATGGAGTGGACGGCTAAAGATCACGATATTCAGCTTGCTAAGAAAGTTCTTGGAAGGGAGCCCTACCGCCTCAAGCCCCGAGCTGTGTAGGCTCGATTACCAGCCGTGCGTGCGAAAATTAATTTGGCAATATGTAGATCGCAAATAGGCTCAAAGGAGCGACGAACATGCACTTTCGAGCAACAGAGGGCTCAACTAGATTTCATCGTACAAGGGAACGAATTTTTTCATTTGATATGACACCATCATAATTATAAAAGTACACGAAAATCTCTGGATCTGTTTCAGGGAACTCATCCTCAAACCTTCAATAAAGCCTTCGACCGTCACCTCTGCTGAAAATTAAAGCTTGTTTCTTTCGCCAAGTCGACGTCGTCCCTTCCCATGCCGTCGCGGCCAAAGTCACCG